TATTAGATTAAAATTTTTATTAATATAAATTATATTTGTTAATTTTTAAATTATTTTAATATTTTTTACCACTTCATTAATTATATGAAATTTAGTATTATCTTTAAGCATATGTTAATCAATAATTTTTATCAGAGAATTATAAATATTAAATCAATATAAAAATTAACATATATAATGTATATAAATAAAATTTTTAATTTAACAATTAATTTTAAAAATATTGATTAAAAAATAAAATTTTAGATAAATCATTCAAAGAAAATACAAAAACGACATGACCTACTCAATTGTTACATATCAATTCCAGCACTTGACGTGCCAGTAAGTCTATTAAAATGGGACAAAAACGCACTCATATAATCAGTCCAAAGAGAATGGCATACAACCTTTAAATTCCGCTAAATCTAGTCTCTCAATTGGTTAAAAGTTTAACATGGCAATTTCATGTTCAATCTTTGAGCTAAGTGGGAAAGGATTTGAAACAAGAAAAGGGTTTTTCATTTTTTTTTTTAATTCTTTATAGTTCATAATCAAGCATATTCTTGTATAATCCACATAAGATATAGCAAAAAAAGGAACCTTTTAAATTCCTTGATTTCCTTGGGTTCTTTATACTCCTACTCCAAAATAATTGTGAGAAAGAGATAGAGAAAAAAGAAAAAAAAAATGGTAATAGAGTAGATAATTAAAATTAAGGAATAATAGTAAGATTAAAATATTTTATGTTTGTTAAATATTGAGAAAACAGTAATTAATTAAATTAATTAAAGACAATTTTTATATTAAAAAGGGATGATCATTTTGAACTAGAGAGAATATATTACAACACATTATAATAAATCATAAGTTAAATATGTAATAAATATATTTTTTGTATTAATTAATATAAAAAATGAAAATTGAGATTAATTTTATTAACAGTTGAATTAAAATAATGTAGATGACCATAATACTAAAATTAATAGTAAATGTTTTTATTTTTATGTAGATTAATATCAAAGATTTGTTAATTAATTAAATGGTATTTTCTAATAGGTTAGAGTGCATTAATGAGGGTATCTAAAGGTATCTTTCCTTAGAATTGTTGAAGATTTAAGCACTATTTAATATGATTATAATTTTTAATTTTATTCTTTTAAGAACTTGTTTAATATAAGGTTTGGAAGTAGTAATTATCAGTTTTGCTCAAATTACTATAGGATAAGTATTTAATAAATTTGTTTATTTGTAGACAATTACAAACTAAGAGAGGAAGTAGCATGTGATTCAGAGGATAAGGAGGAAGCTAGAAGGAATAGGAGAAAGAGAAGAGGAAGAAGAGGGATGAATCCTCAAAGGAGGACGATAAGTTTCGACCTCATAAAAGGAAGAAGAGCAAGGAGAAGAGGAGGAGGAGAAGTCATAGATCATTGTATGATTCTAATTTTGATGGAATGGATGATTTTGGCAAACCTCATAAGAGAAAGGGGCAGAGATCGACATCCATATCTGATTACAACATCAGTAGCGGAAAGGATGCCGAGCGGTTTGCGAGGAGGACCACAAAACTTCGTACTGGAAAGGATAAGTATTGACTTAAGATGAAAGACAATGCCTATTTTATCAAAAAAAAAAAAAAAAAAAAAGAAGAGAGAAAGACAATGCATATGCTTTTCATAATCTTGTTTCTTCCTATTTTAGTTTCGTTATTGTATATCATTTAGTGAATGTAATAAATTGGTGGACGTTGGATTCTTGACAAGGCTAATGAGCACGTTATTTTTTATGAATTTTTTTTTATTTTAATGTAAGTAATCTGTTTTTTACTAATTTAAAAAAGAATTAATCTCTAAATGTATGCAAGTTAGCTTTAAAATATCTGGTTGCTAAACTAAAATAAAGAATAATAAAATAAAATGGTGAATGAGCTTGCCACTATCCTTCATAGTTTTATTTTTTTGGAATGTATTTTGCTATTAAAATATTATTTTAGTTCCTCAACTTTTAATTTTGGTATTAAAATTATTACTAAACTTTAAAAATATCAAAAATATCATTAAATTTTCAATTTTGATACCAATTTTGTCCTTTGTTGACAGAAGTATTAGGTGGAATGTTAAATTGCCAAAAAAAAATCAATCTTCTATTTTTTTAACTAACGATGTGAAAAAAATACAAAACTTTTAGATGATTTGGCATTTTTAATCTTTTCCACATCAATATATATATATATATATATATAAAAGAAAATGAAAATGATCATCTTCTTCCTATTTCACTTCCCCTTTCCTTCTCCCTTTGGCCTTTGGTTTTCCCTTACCTCTGCAAACCCTAAAAGAAATGAGGCACAACACTAACAAAACAAAAACGAAGAAGAAGATATATGATGACAAAAGAAACCAAAATAGAGTTCTTCACTTCCTTACCCATTCAAATCCATTGAAAAATTCAAGAAATGAAAAAAAAAAAAGAAAAGAAAAGAAAAGAAAATCATATGATGAAAATGATCATCTTCTTCCTATTTCACTTCCCTTTTCCTTCTCCCTTTGGCCTTTGGTTTTCCCTTACCTCTACAAACCCTAAAAGAAATGAGGCACAACACTAACAAAACAAAAATGAAGAAGAAGATATATGATGACAAAAGAAACCAAAATAGAGTTCTTCGCTTCCTTATCCATTAAAATCCGTTGAAAAATTCAAGAAATGAAAAAAAGAAAAAGAAAAAAAGAAAAGGAGCTCATATGAATTGAGAAATGGATATGGATACGACTGAAGAAAGGAACCTAGAGCATCATGAGGCTTGGAAGAAGATGAGAAGTCCTTTTGGGTAGAAATTTCCATCAAACAAAAATAAATTTCATCAAAAATGGAAATTTTAATGGTTAAATTTATGAAAAAAAAAGGGTAGAAAATATGAGTATATATATCCAGCTAAAAAATTTCATTTCATATAAAAGATCTCAAAAAGCCATAAAGTTAGATCTAATAGCGAACACTAACTTCTGGAATTTGAATTGCACTTTTCCCTATTTTCTCAAAAAAAAAAAAATCAATTTCATGATCAATCAAGTGTAAAATCTTTAATTATCAAATTGATTTAAGAAATTCTAAGTTTTTAGAATGATTACCAAAGGAGAGAGGGAGATCGGAGTTACAGAGGTTGAGTAGAAATGATCGGAGCCTTGTTCTCGACCAGCTAACACCAGACTTAGACTGAATGCAACCGAAATCAAGAACAAACAGCTAGAGATCAACAAGAAATAGATTCAAGTGTCGGTGACTGAACCACCTTGAACCATGAGGATCCGATGCTGGAGATCAACTGTCGCGGCTTCACTCTAATGGTAATGATTTAGATAGTTTGAAATTGATTGTGGAAGTAGGTGAAACAAAGGGTACAGAGATTAATGTCAAGAGAACCAGAGGTGGAAAGGAAAAGGAGAGAAGCATCGAGAAGAGTTTTAGACTTTCAGGTTGTTTCCAAAGGGATTTCAATGGGAACAAAGCCTTGAGAAACAAGAAGAAGATGATCATTTTCTTTTTCTTTTTCCCTTTCTTTTTTTTTTTCATATTGATGTGCAAAAGATTAAAAATGCCAAATCATTCAAAAGTCTTATATTTTTTCCACATCATTAGTTAAAAAAATAAAAGATTGATTCTTTGATATTTTAATGTTTCCCCTGTCATTTCTGTTAACGGAATGATGAAATTAATATCAAAAATAAAAGTTTAATGATGTTTTTGAACTTTTTTTATGTTTATAGACAATTTTGATATTGAAATAAAAAGTGGACGAATTCAAATGATATTTTAATTTGTGTTTTCCCTATGTAAGAAAGTCATCAACTTTTATGTATAATGAATTTGTTTTCTTTGTAGTAAGAAATTGAAACATATTTGCCTATTAACAGGGATTATTTGCATTCTTGTGCTTAGTTTCGTATTTTTAAACTGATCTTCATTTGGTTTAGTTCATGCTTCATAGAAATATTATAAATCTCAGGTTAACTGATTCCTTGCAAAATATTGGAGGGAGGAGATGAAAAACACACTAATTGATGAAAGTTTTATGAGTTACTAGTCAAATGTTAGAACATGAGAGAGCGAAATGTATAAACTTCCAGAAGTACTTCAATCAGACAATCACACTGCAGAACGAGGAATGAAAGAAAATTAAAAGTTGAAAGGAATAGACAAGTGACATTGATAATGTATCTGCCCTTCTTCCATGAACCTCATTGGTCAATCCAATGTTGGAGTTGAGTCTTCGCATTGACTTAGAATGGCACATTGACCAGTCACCACTAGTTCTGTAAATTACCTGTAAACGAGGGGTTTATTATTATATTATTATTATTATTTTATTAAAACCGGTAATTACATTGATAATATTAGATTTTGTTAGTAAATACTTTGCGCTATTGCTACTGTTGTAAGTTTTTTTTTTTTTTTTGAGTTTTACTATAATTTTTTTTTAAAATATTAGAAAACTAGAAAATCTATACCTACAAACACAGCCGTAGCCTGGCATTTCTAAACAAAACCTTTAATTTTTTTATTTTTTGACAAGGATAATGGTTAGTAAATTAGGTTAATTGTTTGTTAGAAATTAGGGATTTGATCCCTAAACGAAGGTAAGTGTCACCCCTCCTCATTGAGGAGAGCGACCCAATGAGCCGCATGGTGGAGTTCAACAAAACCTTTAATTAGTATCAATAAATCATGTGATATTTTTGACAAGTCATTGTAATGTTTTTTTTTTTAATTAATTTTTTCATATACAAAAATTATATTGGATTTAAACTAATTTAAAATTGAGTCATATTAAATTTCATAAAGA